GGTCCACCTCTATAGGATTTGCTAAGAGAATTTCTCAGTCAGCCTCCCAACTTCTAACTCTCCAGTCATCTTAAAGCTGCAGGTGAGTATTATTCTAACCACTGCACCCGGAAAAGATGGGGAAACAGGAACTGATAGACTCCCTGATAAAACACAATGGGAAGTGGCTGTCATTGGTTTATGTGACCATGAGCACAGTCCAAAGATATAGCTGGTTGCCTTGTGATACTGTGAGCTCTTCCTTGGATTACCTTCTGCCTGAATGCTTTACATAGGATTCCTGAATTGGGACAGAGCTTGGACTAAATGATCTTTGAATTGGTGTCGTGGAAGGATCTTTGAATTGGTGTCTTGGAAGGTGTATTGGAGTCTTGGAAGGCTGCTGGTAGCTGAGCTGAGTCTAAAACGAGATTCAAATAGGCACAGAAAGGAGGGGAGGAGAAAAATAGACAATGGCATTCCCAGTAGAGGGAAGAGTATAAACAAAGACGTGAAGACGATGTGTACAACATAGCAGAAGCTACAGACAGTTCGGTACTGTGTTTTTGGAGTACTAAATGCCAGGAAAGGAGTAGCAGGGATAATACTGGAGAAGTAGAAAGTGGCTGGGTGCTGGGAGTCCTAGTTTATTGTGATCAAAAGCTTAGGTGTTGGCCGGGCGCGGTGGCTCAAGCCTGTAATCCCAGCACTTTGGGAGGCCGAGACGGGCGGATCACGAGGTCAGGAGATCGAGACCATCCTGGCGAACACGGTGAAACCCCGTCTCTACTAAAAAAATACAAAAAACTAGCCGGGCGAGGTGGCGGGCGCCTGTAGTCCCAGCTACACAGGAGGCTGAGGCAGGAGAATGGCGTAAACCTGGGAGGCGGAGCTTGCAGTGAGCTGAGATCCGGCCACTGCGCTCCAGCCCCGGCGACAGAGCGAGACTCCGTCTCAAAAAAAAAAAAAAAAAAGCTTGGGTGTTATCCTAGTAAATATTTGTAGGCTTTTAAGCAGATAAATGACACATGGTAACTGGGATAGCTGCTTATATAAATATCATAATGATGACCTTACCAATAAGAATATGAGGCAATTTTGAAATTAGCTTTGTTAATGAAAGCTGGTAAGATTCTTGTCATACATATGCTAAAGGATCATCGTACCCGTTATCAGATTGACAAAAAGACATCTCCACCTAGCTTCTTCTTTTTTTTCGAGATGGAGTTTCACTCTGTCACCCAGGCTGGAGTGCAGTGGCGCAATCTTGGCGCATTGCAAACTCCGCCTCCCAGATTGAAGCGATTCTCCTGCCTCAGCCTCCTGAGTAGCTGGGACTACAGGCGTGTGCCACCATGCCCGGCTAATTTTTGTATTTTTACTAGAGACAGGGTTTCACCATGGGGTTAGCCAGGCTGTCTCGAACTCCTGATCTCAGGCAGTCCGCCCACCTCAGCCTCCCAAAGTGCTGGGATTACAGGCATGAGCCACCCTGCCTGGCCTCCACCTAGATTCTTAAGCTGAGTTATGACAAAGTTGCATTTATGTATCATAAAGTTCATCCTTGTAGCATTGTGGGAAATCATTTTAAGGGTATTAGGACTGGAAGTAGGGAAACAAAACATTTTTTGGAATTGTCTAGGTGAATGGTGACAGAGGCTTGAACTAGGGCAGTAGATGGAGACATTTGCTGAAGACAAAGCTAGCAGATTTGCTTGAAGAGACAGTTTGATGTAAGATGGTACCAAAGAAAGTGCACCTCACAGAGAGTCATAATTGACTTATAGCCCCAAATTCTGCATTCTGAAATCCATCAAGGCTTCTTGCTCAGATCATGCTTCTTGAAGGCTACTTCATGACTGAGTGTAACAGGAATATTCAGGCAGGCCCATTTCTGGGGAATGTGGGACTCCTCTGATGGGCAACTTTAGTTCCAAGATGTTACATTGTCCTTGCTGAACTTTCTTAATACTGCACTGCAGTCTAAGATTCCTCCACCCAAACTTCCTTCCACACAACCCACCAACCTTCCACACAACCCACCAACCTTCCACACAACCCACCAATCTTCCACACAACCTACCAATCTTCCACACAACCCACCAACCTTCCACTTAACTTTCCTTCCACACAACCCACTAAACTTCCTCCCAACCTTCCTTCCACACAACCCACCAACCTTCCACACAACCCACCAATCTTCCACACAACCTACCAATCTTCCACACAACCCACTAAACTTCCTCCCAACCTTCCTTCCACACAACCCACTAAACTTCCACCTAACCTTCCTTCCACACAACCCACCAATCTTCCACACAACCTACCAATCTTCCACACAACCCACTAAACTTCCTCCCAACCTTCCTTCCACACAACCCCCCAAACTTCCACCTAACCTTCCTTCCACACAACCCACCAAACTTCCACCTAACCTTCCTTCCACACAACCCACCAACCTTCCACACAACCCACCAACCCTCCACCTAACCTTCCTTCCACACAACCCACCAACCTTTCACACAACCCACCAACGCTCCACCTACCCTCCAACCCTCCACCTAACCTTCCTTCCACACAACCCACCAACCTTCCACACAACCCACCAACCCTCCACCTAACCTTCCTTCCACACAACCCACCAACCTTCCACACAACCCACCAACCCTCCACCTAACCTTCCTTCCACACAACCCAGCAACCCTCCTCCTAACCTCTCTTCAGCACAACCCACCAACCTCCACCTAACCTTCCTTCTGTACAACCCAACAACCCTCCACCTAACCTTCCTTCCACACAACCCACCAACTTTCTACTTAACCTTCCTTCCCCACAACCCACCAACCTTCTTTTGTCCTTCCTTCTACCCAACATCTTTCTCCCTTTTGTTTTTCCTTTCATTCTTCCTTCTGTGTCTCATAAGGGACACAGCTATATCACAGTCTGATGGCTCTCCTAGAGGACCTGGACTAATATTTATTGTGAGTAAGCTTTTGGGCTCTGGAGTCACAATAATTTAGGTGGTAATCTGACTCCATCCATCCTTGATATATGAAATCAAGCAAGTAATGTAATCTCTTAAAAGTGCCAATCTTCTCATCTTAAAATCATAATTGTTTTTCGGATTCTATTAATCAGGCTTATAAAATGCTCAGCACAGTACCTGGCATACAGTAAGTACTTGATAAGTGTTAGTTATTCTTATTATTAGATATGGGGGGTGAAGGGAAGGAAGAAGTCAGGGATAATTCTTAGGTTTCTAGGCTACTTACAATATATAAAGTAATCACAGATATTTCACTCAACTCTCCTTTTTCATATAGCAGATATCCTTTTGAGTACGAAGAGATTAGGAAATCTTTCTTTTCTTTCCTCCCTACTCCTAAATTTGTTGACTCCTGCAATTTTCATAGCTGATGAAAGATAAACTACTAACCTATTCATCAACATGGACATAAGAAAGGATTCTTGGCGGGGCATGGTGGATCACGCCTGTAATCCCAGCACTTTGGAAAGTCGAGGCAGGCACATCACTTGAGGTCGTGAGTTCGAGACCAGCCTGGCCAATATGGTGAAACCCCGTCTCTACTAAAAATACACAAAAATTAGCTGGGCATGGTGGTGTGTGCCTGTAGTCCCAGCTACTCAGGAGCTTGGGGCAGGAGAATTGCTTGAACCTGGGAGGCAGAGGTTGCAGTGAGTGCCGAGATAGCATCATTTGCATTCCAGCCTGGGTCTCACAGCAAGACTGTCTCAAAAAAAAAGAAAAAAAGAAAAAAGAAAAGCAAAAAAGAAAGGATTCTTCTGACTCTGGAGTTTAGATAGTAGCCTTTTACCACATTACCCCAGTCACTCCTACTTCTGGTAGGAGACAAGCTATGAGAAGTTTCTTCTCCCTTAGAGAGGAAAGGCCCCTTTAGAGCTCTTTCATGTAAGAAGGGAGGAAAAGTTACCAAACCTCCTTGAGGAATTAAATCAGGACAAAACTAGGTGGGGGAATCCTAAGTTAATGCTTTTCATAAATAGCATTTTATTTAGGACAACTTAGCTGTTGTCCTAATAGCTAAGTGCAGGAGCACCTTTGGGTTGTCCTGCGTTGTGGAAGCCCCCTGACCTAAGAACATGTTATATATTGATCAGGTAAGGAACTAGATATAGACTTGGAAGTGATCTCTATAAAGTCAGAAGGAGGATCCTGGGACTCTAAGGCCATATGCACAGGGCAGTGAGCAAGAAGTGAAGTTGCAGGGGAGCCTGTGGCTCATGCCTGTTATGCCAGCACTTTGGGAGGCTGAGGGGGGAGGATCACCTGAGCCCAGGAGTTTCAGACCAGCCTGGGCAACATTTTAGAAATGTTTAAAATTTTTCTACATGCATGGTGGCATGTGCCTGTGGTCCCAGCTGCTCGGGAGAGTGAGACAAGAGAATGGTTTGAGCCCAGGAGGTCGAAGCTACGGCGAGCTGTGATGGTGCCACTGCACTCCAGCCTGGGTGACAGAGTGAGACCTTGTCTCAAAACATAATAAATAAATAAATAAATAAGAGATGACAGGTACACTGTAAAGTGCACACTAGCAAATTATCTTTCCCTTTCTCAAATACTTATAAAGCTTAAGACAGGGCCAGCATTCAAATCATAGACTGGCATATAGAGTTTAAACTAGTAAAATTAGAAAGGGAAAATGTAAACTCCTGAACAAAATTTTAAGAAGTTGATTGTATAAACCTGGAATGTGGAAAATCTAGCTGAGCAGTTTATATGAAAAATATTATGGGTTTTATTTAGGCTAACTGCCAGTGCCATGGGAGCCAACAGTGTAATTTTAGCTTGTAAAGAAATGAGTGCAATCTCTGCCTGCATTGAAGTACAATATTCATTTAGTAACGGGAAACTTCAGCTTTCTTATCTGCAAAATTAAACTCTAGATTAGATAATTTCCAGGTCCCATACAGTGCTACTATTTTATGAGTATATGAGTCTGTGACTTAGAAGTTCTAAACTTGAATTCTTGCATTTCCAGAAAATGACCATGGGAAAGAAACATAGGCTTGATGAAAACAGGTAATTCATTTCTCTGGTTAACTTTATAGCTTGGATAATCTCCAAAGAGAAAACAAAAAAGATTCTTTTTCTGTGTATGTGTTGACCTGACCCACAGATATACACCATGTCAAGCTTCACACAGAACTATTTTGCTTCAGGTGGCAAGCCTGAGAAACCAGTTTTTCCCGAAGTTTGCCTGATAAATATGTTTATGATGAGCTGTACTGTCATTCTTCTATCTTGGTATAGCCTTGGAGGGCCCCTCCTAAGTTGGCCAACTGCCTGTTGACATTGGTAATCAAGGATTTCAGAGGCAGACATCAAGGCCAACATGGGGCAATGATAGGAGGGACTAGAGTGCTCTGCTGTACGACGCTGCGGGAAGGCGTGGGTCCAAGTTTTAGCCACAGCATAATAGGCGGTCTGTGATGGTTTTGTGGATAACCAGTGAGCTTCCCCAATTGATCAGTGCAGTTATCATTCTATTTTAGACCCCTAATTTGTATTTCCAAGCATTTTAAACATGTTTTGAGAAAAAGGCAGTAAAAGAGACTAAATCTGGGGAAAAGCAAAGCTTCAGTAAAAATAGCATTTCAAATATTTCAGCTGGGATCTCTTTGTCTAGCTAACAGAGGTTTGGAGACTGGATCAGAAGGCCTGCATCTCCTTCCCCTTCTGCATTTAGCCAGGTATACGCCCATGAGCAAGCCATTGAACCAATCCTGGGCCCCCGTTTCCTCACTTACAAGATGAAGAGGAGCCCCACCTTGCTACTTCCAAGAGTGTAGGAGCTGAGCACCTTTGGGTTGCCCTGGTTTGTGAGGGCCCCCTGAACTAAGAACATGTTATGTATTGATCAGGAAAGGAATTGGGTATAGGTTTGGAGGTGATCTCTGTAAAGTCAGAAGGAGGATCCTAGGATTCTAAGGGCATATGCACATGGCAGTGAGCAAGGACTGAAGTTACAGGACTTCCAGGTTCCTGTCTCAGGTAAGTCCCTTCCAGGTGTTGGCTGAGTTGTTCTATGGCTCATTTTCTTAATTGTGTCAAGCAGAAGAGGTCACAGAGGGTGGGGCTTTGGCCAATGTATCATGTTCTCAAAGTTCTGAAAAAAGGACAGAGGGAGCAGAAAGGCCAGAAGAGGGGTTTCCACAGCAAACTGACCACAACTGACTATCCCATTCTCTTCCTAGACTGGAAGGGACAAGGGCACCAGGTAGCTGCAGCCTCCATGGTTTCATAAGTACCTTCATCCATTTAGCACCATAGCCACCAACTTGAGCAAGGAAATCAATATCTTTGACAAACAGGGGAAGTCCAGGAGATGGTCATTAGGTAAACTTTTGGAGATTTTGGGGGAATCCATAGATGTTTATCTTTTCAAGAGATACACTCCCTTTTAAATTTTGGTAAAATCTACATAAATGTCATTTACCATTTTAGCCATTTTTACATGTACAATTCAGTGGAGAGGCCCTTTTTGATAACTTCTGTTCTCTCCCTGTGCTAATGTAGACTGTGTACTCCCTGCTAGGAAGATTCCTGGTTGTTCTGCAGGGTCATTCTGAGGGCTTCATCCAGTTAAGTGGATTTAGCTCCTGCAATAGGGGAATACCCCAAAATACAGGACAGAAGATTATTCTGTGGTCATTTATCCTTGATATTGATGAGATCAGATTTGCTGCTGTGTTCCTTTAATTTTTATCTCTGCGTTGTCCCTAACTACTCATCTTGACCTGTGGCTTGCCCTGGGGCCTGATCTCTTTCATTATAGTGTATTTTGGTTCTCTGCTGACTCCTGGCTCATTGTGACTATTAAAAAAACCCTATTTTCTTGGGATGTGACTTGTCTGCCCCTTCAGTGGTCCTTGCAGAACTTATTTGTCAGATATGATTGACAGCTTCTGCTCTCTACCTGAGCTCCAATCCCATGTCCCTGACTGCCTACTGGCCATTTGCTCTGGAATGTGCAGGTCATTGTTCCGCCAAGCAGATTGCAACATGTCCAAAAACAACCTTCTTTTTTTTTTTTTGCCACAAACCCGCAGCTCATATAAACTGTCAGTCCCTGTCAATAGTCCATGAAGTTATTTAGATAGAGAGAAGCAAATTCCTCTTTGATTTGATCTCCTCTTTCATCACTCTCAGCTGTTCAGCCCCTAGAACAATCAGGCTTTCCTTCAAATATTGATCTTGTTTCTGTCCTTCCCTCTCTCCTATGCCCATTTCTAGGTCCTTACTTCCTCTAATATCATCTAGTGTTCATGTCTAGCCTTTCCCTGATTCAATTCCCTGTGAAAGACTGAGGCCAGACCTAGAGTACCTTCATTAATCAAATCATGTCTATTCAAAACCCTGAAGTTCTTCTCTATTCATACAGACTTCTTGTTCTTCTTTGTTGTCAAAATTTCCTCTAATCTGATCCCATATTAGAGGAAATATTTCTGCCAGGTGGCTATATTGTAATGGGAAGTTTAATGGACGTGGAGTTAGTGGATCTGCTTTCAAATCCTAGCCCTGTACTCAGCAGAATGACCTTGGGCAATTCATTGACTCTTGAAACCTTGAATCCCGGCTTGCAAAACTGGGGTCGTAATACCTATGTCATAGGGAAGTTTATGAGATTGTAGTAATATGTGTGGAGGCAGTTTAGCATTGTGCTGGGAACCCATGTTTGGGCTGACTTACTTGGTTCAATACCAGGCTTTCTCACCCAGTAACTATGTGACCTGAAGCAAGTTCCTTAGTCTCTCTGGGTTTCATCACTTTCATCTGTAAAATGGATACACTACCTATGAGGTAGCATATACCTCATAAGTCTGTAGTGACAATTAAATGAGATAATATATGTAAAGCACTTTAACACAGTGCAAGGCACATTGTAAGCTTTAATAGGTTTAAACTATTATAATTACGCAGCAAGAGACCGAGTATAATCAGCACTTGATATATGTTTGGTAAGTTTGTTTCTGTGAGACAGCGTCTCACTCTGACACCAACACCAGTGTGCAGGGATCATAGCTCACTGCAGCCTCGACCTCCCAGGCTCAAGCTATCCTTCCACCTCAGCCTCCCAAGTAGCTGGGACTACAGGCACACATCTCCACACCCCGCTAAATGTTTTTGTTTGTTTCTTTTTTTCTTTTTTTGAGACAGAGTCTGGCTCTGTTGCCCAGGCTGGAGTGCAGTGGTGCCATCTCGGCTCACTGCAAGCTCCGCCTCCTGGGTTCACGCCATTCTCCTGCCTGTCTCAGCCTCTCTAGCAGCTGGGACGACAGGTGCCGGTCAACACGCCCCGGCTAATTTTTTGTATTTTTAGTAGAGATGGGGTTGCCCAGTGTTAGCCAGGCTGGTCTCGATCTCCTGACCTCGTGATCTACCCGTCTTGGCCTCCCAAAGTGCTGGGATTACAGGCTTGAACCACCGCGCCCGGCCATTTTTTTTTTGTCTTTTTTTGTAGAGAAAGGGTCTCACCATGTTTCTCAGGCTGGTCTTGAATTTTTGGGCTCAAGCGATCCGCCCAACTCAGCCTCCCGAAGGGCTGGGATTATAGGTGTGAGCCACCGCGCCCAGCCTAAGTATGTTGATGAATTCATCTTATTCGGATGATCTTACTTCCCACTAATTTTTGCTATGTACATTCTTATGCCACCCTTCCTCCAGACAGGCTGACTGCTTTGGTTTTCCATGAATATATCTTTCACTTTTCCTGCCTTTGATAATGGTTTCCTACTATAATTTATAATTCATCACAGGAAATATTAGGTGCTATATAATTTCTAGAATGTCATAATTTCTCTTTCCTGCCAATCCAGATTCTTTCCATTCTTTAAGGTATCTCCTAAACCTTGGCTTGGTGACACTTTCCCTCATTACTTCTGTACTTATCAATGTCTCATTTTTCTGAACCAATTACCCTTGGCTTAGCACTTGATGCCATTAATCTGTCAGGCACACTTAGCTGCTGTTTCCTGTATATTCATTTTGTGTCTTCAACTAAAATGAAAACATTCCTCAATCCAGCCTTGTTTCAGAACATGCAGTAAATATGTAGTGACTATTAAATCTATTAGATCCAACATTCTACAATAATTTTTTGGGTCTGCAGCCTCTTATTAAAAGAGTGGCCTATGAGAGTGGGCAGAGGGTTTGGGAATAAGAAGTTCCTGCTACCTTGGACGAGATCCTTTGGTCTCTGGGCCATGTTGTCAGAGAAGTGCTTAAGCACAGGGGCCGCAGAGGTGAGGGGCTGGAAGTAGGCCATCAGACCATCCCTGACACAGACAGGAAAGTGTCCCCATTCAAATCTCATTCTTGCTGTGACAGGCTTTGTCTTTAACTGGTTTCTCAAACTTCTTGCACTTTTACACAACATTTGCCCTACAGAGAAACTGGTTTTGCATGAAACTTCCCATGGCTTGAAGCAAGTCTCCATGACGGTGTTTGCATACCATTGGGGTTTTATTCCTCCCATGCAATACATGCCAATAAAGATGAAGTGGCATTCAGATGACGTGATATGAAGGACATCACTGCAGCCTGCAAAGCAGAGAATGTTTGAACTATGCGAAAGAGTCATACCAGGATTTCACAATTACAGAGAAGGCCAAGAAAGACTACTAGTCAAGAATGCAAGGTGAATAACACTGTGCCTGCTCCAGTTCTCACGGGTACTGTAGCCTCCACTAAACTCCCATTTCTCTGCACTCCGGTAGTACATATTATCTGGACTACACAATTCAGTCCTGCATTATAGTGTCCTTTAAAAATTGCTTTGTGTGTTGTGGTCTCCCAGCTAGTTGTAAGTTGCTGAGAATACAGACCATATCTTATACTTCCTTGCTGTCGTGTATAGAGCCTCACAATACCATTTAACTCAGTGTTGGGCACAATAAAATTCTCAACAGTAAATGTTGATGGATTTGATTTTGGAAATCAAATGTATAAAAAGTGGCCCTGCAAAGGAGAGTGAGAAGACTCACTTCCTTTTGAGGGCTGTGGGCCTGGGAGTCCCATCGTCTGTTGCGGTGTTGCCAGTAGCAGCAGCCTCCTTTCAGGGGACGGGGAGTCAGTACAGCTCCGACAGGACACATGGTTTCAGTGCTTTCCCACTCAGGAGAAGACCGCCTAGCACAGTGCCGGAGACCCTGCCCTGATTCCCCTTTCTCCTCCCAACCACAAAGGCCATGCAGGTAGAACTTGAGGGGCATCAGAGATTATCTGACTGAACTCCCTCAAGGCAAGAGCAGCTGAGGGGGGTGGAGGGCCTATGCATGGGTTTTGCAGTTAGGCAGTACTGGACTCTAATCCCAGTGCCGTTACCCTTTAGCTGTGCGATTGTGGGAGAGTCTGTTAACATCTCAGAGCTTCAATTTCCTCATCTTTAAAGTGTAACAATGGCGATCCACAGGAAATGTTGTAAAAACTCAGTGAAATAATGTATGCAAACACAGTGCTTGGCAATAATAGATGCTCAATACCTGTTCAGCTCTCTACTTTCCTTCTCTTGAGTCTCCTGCCCAAAGTCATAAAACAATATAGTGCTAGCCTCTCCTGTTTTTCAAGCTGTTTTCTTTCAATCAGGTACTAAAGCTAGCCACCTACCCACTAGAAAATTAGGCTCAACCATTAACAAATTTTTTAATGCTGAAATTTTTAACAAAATTTTTAATGCTTGCCGGACACGGTGGCTCATACCTGTAATCCTAGCACTTTGGGAGGCCAAGGTGGGCAGATCACTTGAGGTTGGCAGTTGGAGACTAGCCTGACCAACACGGAGAAACCCTGTCTCTACTAAAAATACAAAATTAGCCGGGCGTGGTGGCGGGCACCTGTAATCCCAGCTATTTAGGAGGCTGAGGCAGGAGAATTGCTTGAACCCGGAGGGTGGAGGTTGTGGTGAGCCGAGATCATGCCATTGCACTCCAGCCTGGGCAACAAGAGTGAAACTCTGTCTCAAAAAAAAAAAAAAAAAAAAAAAAAAAAACACAACTCAAGATTTTGACATATTTATTTTCAGCACATTTATATACCTTGAGATAAAAGAACTTAAAAGATAGAAATACTAAATTTCAGTGTAAAATTCAAAGGCATTGAGGTTTTATCCATTTCCAACTACAACGTTTGAACTTTTGGTACTCCTAAAATAGTACTCATGGCCTTTTACCCCTTAAAAAAATAAAAAAATTCTGGCTTTGGTATATTTACATGCTTTGCTTTGCAACCTGATATTTTTCACCTGTCTTTCTTAAGACATGCTCTGCTGTCCATTAATCATCAATCGGATCTAAAATGAAAACACCACTGTTGGGGTTCTGTTAAAAAAAATAGAAACTTTTTTGTTTTTCTTTTAGACAGGGTCTCACTCTGTCATGCAGTCAGTGGCACAATCATCGCTCGTTGCAGCCTCAAACTCCTGGGCTCAAGTGATCCTCCCATCTCAGCCTCCTGAATAGCTGGGACTACAGGTATTACAGGTATACCCAGCTAAAAAACACAGAAACATATTGGTAACAATCATGTGGTGTGGTTTCGTTTCAGAAATAAAATACACATTCAGTCAGGTGTGGTGGCTCATGCCTGTAATCCTGGCACTTTGGGAGGCTGAGGCAGGAGGATCACTTGAGCCCAGAAGTTTGAGACTAGCCTGGGCAACATAGTAAGACCCTCTCTTTAAAAAAAAATAATAATAAATAAATAAGAAAATTAGCTGGACATGGTGGTATATGCCTGTAGTCCCAGCTACTGGGGAGGCTAAAGTAGGAGGATTGCTAGAGCATGGGACATTGAGGCTACTGTGAGCTGTGCTTGGGCCACTGCACTCTAGCCTGGGCGACAGAAGAGTGAGACTCTGACTTGAAGAAAAAAAGAAATGGACATTCATATCATTTATAAAAGTGAATGGTTGATGATAAACCTTCTTTTCCCCCATACTGGAAAGGATTTCCTGGGATCATTATTTCTTTTTTTCTCTGCCTCAGCCTCCCAAGTAGCTGGGATTACAGGTGACTGCCACCACACCCGGCTAATTTTTGTATTTTTAGTAGAGAGAGAGTTTCACCATGTTGGCCAGGCTGGTCTTAAACTCCTGAACTCATGATCCACCCACCTCGGCCTCCCAAAGTACTAGGATTATAGGCGTGAGCCAGCATACTCGGCCAAGATCATTATTTCTTTAAGAATTTTTAGTTAACAGTCATTGTATTTAGCTACAAATAAATCTTTAAGCATGGAACAGAATCAGATTTAGACCAGAAGAAAAATATTATCATGAAAGGCCTCCCAATTGTGATTATTACAATTATCATATTGTGATAGACGGTTCATGATTTAGAGGATCAGTTAGGTCCTGCAAGACAGAGAGACAAAGCAGGGGCAAAGCTCCCTGGAGTTTTCTTTGTGGAGGGTATGGTAGGCAAAATGATGGTCCCCCAAAATGTTCACATCATAATCCTCAAAACCTGTCCTCTGTTATGTTACATGGCAAGTGAGATAAAGTTGCAAAGGGAATTAAGGTTGCTAGTTTGCAGATCTTAACACAGGGAGAGCATTCTAGGTTATCCAGGTGGACCCAGTGTAATCACAAGGGTCCTTAATAGAAGGTGCAGGAGGCAGAAGTCAACCAGAGAGATGGTTGATGAGGTGAAAAGAACTCAAGCTGCGGTTGCAGGTTTTGAAGATGGAGGAAGAAGGCCATGAGCCAAGGAATGCAAATGGCCTCTAGAAACTTAAAAGGACGAGGGAACGGATTATCCCCTAGAGCCTCCAGAAAAGAATGCAGCCCTGCTGACACCTTGATTTTATTAGGGAGACCATTTTTGACTTCTGAATTACGGAACTGTGAGACAATACATTTGTGTTGTTTTCAGTCACTAAGTTTGGGGTAATTTGTTTAGGCAGTGATAGAAAACTAATACAGAAGGTCTCTCCAAACAAAGACTGACAGACCATCTTCCTCCAAAGATGCTGTTTGGCCTTCTGGAATTTCACACAACCATGGGTTACAAAGTTCCAAAAGGGACTGAGCCATGGGGAGAGGCTGAAAACCAGAGTTGTGGAGGCACAGTGACCAGCAGTTAGCAGAGAGTGCCTCTCGTGTTTGACACCATAAAGAATGGAGAGGAAATAGAAACGAACTATTAGCCTCAAGAAGAGACATGATTAATAGCAATACTTGGTATTTATGGCCAGGTGCAGTGGCTGAGCACTTTGGGAGACTGAGGTGGGCAGACTCATTGAGCCCAGGAGTTCGAGACTAGCCTGGGCAATATGACAAAAACCCCATCTCTACAAAAAGTACAACAATTAACAATTTTTTAGTGGTAAGCGCTTGTGGTCCCAGCTACTTCAGGAGGCTGAGGTGGAGGAGAGCCTGGGAGAGGTTGAGGCTGCAGTGAACCGTGATAGTGCCACTGCATTCCAGCCTGGGAAACAGAGTGAGACCCTGTTTAAAACAAACAAAACAAAATAACTTGGTATTTATATCACATCTTAGGTTTTATTTTTATTTTATTTTATTTTTTTTGAGATGGAGTTTCATTCTTGTCGCCCAGGCTGGAGTGCAATGGTTCATTCTCTGCTTACTGCAACCTCCGCCTCTTGGGTTCAAGCGATTCTCCTGCCTCAGCCTTCTGAGCAGCAGGGATTACAGGCACCCACTACCACGCCTGGCAATTTTTTTTGTATTTTTAGTAGAGACGAGGTTTCACCATGTTGGCCAGGCTGGTCTTGAACTCCTGACCTCAGGTGATCCGCCTGTCTCAGCCTCCCAAAGTGCTGGGATTATAGGTATGAGCCACTGTGCCTGGCCCACATCTTATGTTTTATTAAAGGTTTATTTTATTTTTGAGATGGAGTCTCACTCTGTGTGAGTCTTGCTCTGTTGCGCAGGCTAGAGTGCAATGGCATGATCTTGGCTCACTGCAACCTCTGTCTTTGGGGTTCAAGCGATTCTCCTGCTTCAGCCTCCCAAGTAGCTGGGGTTACAGGTGACCGCCACTACACTTGGCTAATTTTTTTTGTAGTTTTAGTAGAGACAGGGTTTCACTATGTTGGCCAGGCTGGTCGTGAACTCTTGACCTGAAGGGATCCACCCGCCTTGGCCTCCCAAACTGCTGGGATTACAGGCATGAGCCACCACGCCCGGCCTTATTTTACATAGTCTCATTTAATTCTCCCATTAATGCTATGAGGCAGAAATTTTTATTACTCCGTTTTGTAAACAAGAAAATGTGAAGTTAAGAAAATTATTTTTCCTGCAATTAGACAACAGTAAGTGGGAGAGTTGGGATTCAAACAGATCTGTCTGGTTCCAAAACCTAAGTGCTTCATTACTTGGGTGTCTGTCCTACCTGGACAGAGCCACTCAGCCAGGAAGTCAACGATATGTAGAGATTGCTTGTTAGATCAGGTAATTTCTGCTCGTTAAGTGGAGGTTACGGGCAGACATGTGGACATGGTGCAGTGGTATCCACTCTCCAGGTGTCTGCTTCTCATGAACATGAAGTCTTCCTAAAATGTATCCACTGTCAAACATCACTGCCAGTGGTGGCTTCTTGCTGAACATTTTCAATCGACTGTCCACCATAAGCCTAACTTTGACATGTCTAAAATATAGCTCCACTCTACCTCTCTACCTCAATCAGACCTTTCTCCTGACTTTCCTGTTTCTTTTAAGAATTTCATTATTCTTAAACCCAGCCACGGTAGATTCAACATCTATAAAAACTATGACAGCTACTATTGGTTAAGAATGCATTCCTGTTCTTGTGCTAAGCATTTTAGATG